CGGAGGCCCCTCCCCCGCCGTCTATCCTCCCGAATATCGCCTCAGATTCACTTCTCCGCATGCCCTACCTTCCAGTAAGTGGTCGCTTCTCTGTTCAGAGAGTTGTTGCTACTCTCCTGTTCGATCTCCTGTTGAGTTCGTAGGTGTTCAGAATGGCTTGATCCCTATTCAGCTGAATTCCTGAGACCAGACGAAATCTAGGTCTCCTCCTCCTCCGCCATCTTGCTCCGCCCCTATATCATGTATTCTTACTAGCCTCTGTTTGTATCATACGGGACTCCTTGGCCCCTGATCCTGTTTTGCCTCCACATGGCTGCTCAGAACTGTGCACCAACACAGAGCTGCGTGTCAGCTCATCTCTGCCAACGGCGGCATTCATATACACCTCCAGACTCTCCTACCTCCTCCCCACTGCATCTCCCCCACAAGAAAAGAAACCCAGGGCAGGAAGAACATCACTGAAACGTGTTCCTGAGCCCACCTACTTATGGTGTGAAATTTTACTTACGGGTGACTGATTTATTTCTCAGTCGCTGTCTATTATTCAAAAACTGGCTTCTCATACCCTCTTATTTTTTAAGACCTTTTCAAGAGCTTACAAGCCACGGTGATCAACTAAACACGGGCTTATTTCCTTTCCCTCGACTACTTTCAAATGACTTAAAAATGAAGAAGAATCAAAATAAGCCCACAACATCAAAAAAAAAAAAAAAACGCAAGGGGGCACATGGAAGACTTTTAAAAAAATTTGGAAGGCAAAAGAGAGATGTCAAAAAATGGAGACTGAAGAAGGTTATACCCAGACCTGGTGAAGAAGGACGAGCTCATAAAACTCTAGAAAAAGGAAGAAATCAGAAATGTCATGAACAATATAGGAAATCCATGAAATGTAGAGTTCAAAACTAGGGAACATACATAGACCCCTCCCCCCAGCCCCACTCCCTGCCACACGGACACACACCCTATTCCCACATGAACAATTCCTGCCAACCAGGGGTTTAACCTGTGAAAATTAATAAAAGGAAACCTCATTTAAAAATGCAGCCACAAAGGGGCCACAAGGGGGCGCTCTCCTACCCCACCACTCCATCAATGGCCGACCCAACAGAGAGGACCTTGAGAGTGATGCTACTTTTCCACCCCAGCAGGAAAAAGGAAAGTTTCCTCCTCCCCCTGCCAAAAGCCCAGCCAATGAGAAGCGGCTACACTTTCAGCTTTTAGATTACTCCAATGCACTTTTTGTCCCAAAGAGCCTCTCCCAACTCTCTAACTTCTTTCCTCTATAAAAGAGTGTTTCTCTCCCTTGTTCTCTGGACTTACCTCTGGTTTTGCCAGATGTCCAAATCGCAATCTTCTGCTATTCCCAAATAAACCCATTTTGTTGGTAAGATAACTGAAGATAACTGACAGCTTTATTTTTAAGGTTTACAAACCCTTAGCTCTCCCCCAGTACACATACACACACACACACACACACACACACACACGTGCGCGCGTGCGTGCTCATGTGCACTGCACAGTGTGAATAAACGTGGAGAAGCTAGCTCAAAGAGTTTCGTTTCCCTAACAAGGATACTCTGCAGTAGCAATTAAGGCCACTCATCTCCTTCCCCACTCATTCTACAGGAAAGACTGCCAATTACCAGCCCGGCCATGTTCACAGAGCTCCAAGTGAACTTTCTGACAGTTGCCACATTCTTAAAGATTAAAAGGCAAGCCAGGATTCCTAGATATTTGAGAAAAGTCTACAAAATGGAAGCTATTTTTACAATGTAGGAGGAATCATACATTCCAGCATGAAGCAGGAGAAAAATAAAACAACTTGGGGGCAGAAGATAACAGTAAAAGTGCAAGAAGTATTTGCAGTGAGATTTTTAAATATAGAGTATCCATGAAGCAAGAGCCGGATAATATGAAAAGGGAAGAAGGTGGAGGAAAGAAAACATTCAAGAAAAAAAATAAAGAGAAAATTTAGACAAATAGGGCAAAGGAATTTCTCAATATAAATAAATAAATTTCCCACAGTTTAAAGTGTTCACTGAGTTTGCTACAGAGGGCACGAAAAAAGGCATATGTTCAGACACCATGAAATTTCAGTACTTTTGGAAAAGCTTTCCAAATAGAAAGGCCACATTTCCAGACAGAGAATGAGAGGCAGACCTTTCATCTACAAAACATGGGGTGCTGGGAAACAGTGAAGCAACCAAGACCTTCAAATTTGTCAGGACACAATAAAAAGATCAAAACAACAAATTATCAAGCAAGAGCAAGGGCTCAAATAAAGATCTGTCCAGGGAGCCTGGGTGGCTCAGTTGGTTGGGCGTCCAACTCTTGGTTTCGGCTCGGGTCATGATCTCGGGGTCCTGGGATTCAGCCCTGCTTCTTGAGCTCCCTGCTTCTCTCCCACCCTTTTCCCCTCCCCTCACTTGTGCTCATGCTCTCTGTCCCTCTGGAATAAATAAATCTTTAAAAATAAATAAATAAACACCTGTACAAACATGTAAGATTCAGAGATTGTATTTTACATGCACCCTGTCTTCAGAAGTTGCCTTAGGATCAAGTCCAGCAAAGTGAGCATGAAACTTGGAGGAGGTGTGAGTTCAAGGTGACAGCGGTTTCCAACTTAAGAGATCAGCGGTATCAGCTATAGAGCAGGCCAGGCCTGGCATGCTGACTGCATCTGAAGCTAGAATAAAGTTTGTTAGAAAAAGCAAGAGAGGAAGGAGCGAGGGAAGGAAGAAGTAGTGAAAGAAAGAGAGAGAAGCCGGGACAGAAGAAAGAAGGGAGGGAAGAAGTTAAGAGAAAGAAAAACTTCAGGAGAAAAACCCCTGAGGATATCACAGTACACAGACAATGTCTCTGGGCTCTGCAGGTAATAATAACTGGAGCCTTAAGATGAGTGATGGACAGGCAATCAAAGAGCCCAGACACTTCTGTGCACTCCGAGTTCTTGACTGATTTTGCCAGGGATATGGAAATGTAGCCAAAGAAGCCTACCCTTCAACCCTAACAGGGGCCAGCAGCTGCCTGACACCCTCCACACAAAGTAACATTGTGTCCGACGGGAGAAGCTCACCTTTGTTCTCTGCTGAAGCCTTTTTATAGTCAGGCATATATATATTACTGTTTGGTAAGAAATGCCACATCTTGGAATGTGCTAAAAAGCAGTGCCCAGATGTCTTTGGCATACCTCTGCTGCCCACTGAACTGCATCCCCACAGAGTGATAGAATAAGGCGAGCACTGTGGCTGCTCGGTAGCTATTAGAATCATCATTTAAGGTTTGGCTCTTAACAATACAACACGCACGCGCGCACACACACACACACCTTGAGCTAGAGAAGCTAGTGTTAGGATTGGAATCACCATGTCAGCTTCTCACCACACCCAAATTTCATATGGTAACTGTATACTTGGGTGCGTGTAGAACAGTACAATTAAATAGAAATAATAGAAGATGGGAGATGGAAGGGGAAGAAAGATCAAATAATGGATAGGGAGATGAATATTCTCATCTTACAGAGTGGAAAATCAGATCACTGTCGGTGGGAAATTAAACAAGAAACAAAGGCATACATGTTTACAAGTAAGCAAGAAAGAAGCTCTATCACTGCAGTCATTTAACTGCAGTGAGAGAGAGAAAATCTGCATCACGTAAACCCGATTAATCGGAGAGGAGGCATAGCATCTCGGAGGAGCTGTAATGGCTTCCTTCTGTTACTTATTTGTCCATCATGTTTTGAGATGCCGTACTTGAGTTACACTAAAAAAGCATCAACTGAAAGAACACAAAGGTTTGACTCCAGAATCCTGTACAGAAGGAAAGGACAGCGAGGGAACTGGAAAAGGGGGCTCAGGCAAGTCTTCTGAGTGCAACAGCAAATACATGCATGTTTATGGGTCTACTTTGGGGGGCTGATGGACAATAGGAAGGGGGCATCCCTCCAACCATCCTTTGGCATTGCCACGGCTCAAACTCAGCTCTGCCGTGATTGAATTACATGTTCCTGGGCTTTTCATGTCTGAGGCTTAGGTTTCCACAACAGGACCCATGAAGGTAAACTAGAGGCTGGCTACTCTGAGTGCAGCCCCCAAACAAACACCATCTGCATGATCTGGGCGCTAATTAAAAAATGCAGGATTTCAGGCCACACCCGAGAACTAGTGACTCAGGATCTGCATTTTCACAAGATCCTCAGCTGAGTTATGTGTGCATTAGAATTTGAGCAACAGTGAGCGAGATGTGCCAAGTTTCCTCCCTGATGAGTCAGCCTTGTGAATTACAGGGACCACAACACTGGGATTTGAGAGCCCTAAACGGGAACTCTTTTTCTGCTACCGAATTATCTATGTGCCATTGGAGAAATGACTTGACTTCTTCACATCTGTCAAATTAGGGATATTAATACATGCTTTATGAGGCTGATGTGGTGATTATAAATTATAAAGCACATACCACAATGCCTGGCATACAATAGGAACTGAATACATGTTAATTCCCCTTTGCAGGCTCTCTCCTGCACAACCCACATGTTACCAATCTGCAGATCTTACTCCCTACCACACACTCATTTGCGACTGCTATTGCGCCCAACTTACAAAGACAATAAACATAAAGTATCAAATCTTGCCAAAGTAACATAAAATTCTAAAAGCTAATAGTTATCAGGTGCCAGCAAGTGGGATGAATCCAGGCCTCCATTTGCAATACCTCTCAGACATAAACGGGCTTCTCCCTCTACTACCGTCAGTCCAGCCAAGAGACAATCGAGCTAACATTTTTGTTTTTCAAATTATCAAATTGATGCTGTTGCTTGGGGGCAGGATGTGCGTATCCCCAGAGTGCTGTCTCAAAACAGGGCAATTGTCAACCCAATTACCTAGTACGTGTTTTTAGTCTTTCAAAGTAACCCTGAAGAAATCTGTTTATTCTTAAGAGTTGTTAGGGGAGAGAAATGTCTCCCAAGATACCTTTTTTAATGCTGTTCCATTGTATTTTGAGCTGATATGTTTTGTCTTTTACTGAATATGTTATTATTCAAAAATGCTCACTTATCTTTACACTCTTCATTTTGAATTCAACTACATTGTGACTTTTCTGTAAATCTTTCATGAACAAGTTCTCTGGTGGGTCCTCTTTAATCGGTTAAGGATGATCAGCAGAGAGCACTGTCAAAACTCTAGACGGTATTTCTTTTAAAAATCATGGCACAAAACTTTTTCTGGGATAAGATGTCTGGATGTAGATGAAAAACCAACCACACTCTCATGCCCACAAATACTACCTGCGCCTGGCTTGTCAAAACAAGGGCTTTCAAGTCCTCCATTAGCAGTCATATTCTAGAACAGCTTTGTTTTTCAAAACTGAATTATTTGTGTTATGCTTCTAACAAAAGTGGTTGAAAGAAGGAAGGGGATTGGAGATCGTTGCTAATAAAATATTCTTGTAGCAATTTTTCCATGAAAGCCTAACAGACGGTATCAAACCCAAAAGCCTCTGAAGGGTTTCCTTCTGTCATCTTGCAAATCTAGACACAACTTCATTGCCCTGGGTGATGGAGGAAACGTAACCACACAGGCACCCACCTGTTGCACAGACACCACTTCCTGCCCCCCGCCCTTGGGTTATCGTCTATCCAAGAGCGTTCACACCTGAGTATGTATTGTCTTCATTCAAAATCTTCCCTTGTCCTTTTCTTTCCATTCCTTCCCCAG